GTGGTTGAACTTGGGCTTTCGTATTTGACCTTTCGGAGCATGTTTGTTTGATTGGTCATCAAACTCGTTGAGTGTTTCCGGCCTCGAGCATAGTGTGTAATCTGTCTGCTCAAGGTGACAACTGTAAAGGTAATCCCTCTAACCCTTAGCCTTATATGGTTCATCACCACCAAATACACACACTCTACTATTTTGAGTGGTGCAACGAGTACCCCGCTTGTTTGTGTTGAATTGAACCCTATTAGTAACACGTCCATGATATGAATTTACTTCACGTTTTTAGGCCACAGGCAAGTGTATACAATTCATGCACAACTCCATTTGATGTCGAACAAACTTGAGATTGCATCTAGAGACAGATTTAAAAAGAATCAATTGGTGATATAATTTCATTCCATAAGTTGTCAAATGTAATCAAAAGAACTCACTTTTCTTTTAAACCATTCCAGAAATAAGATGTCGTGGAGTCTGGTGGATTACCACTACTCCCATTTTGAAGCTCCATTTCATACTCTCTACCAAATGATTTGAACAGTGAATAGATTTTTAAAGAAAGAATGGTTGTGTAAATGTAAAAAATATCATATCGTATTCACAGGCTGCTTTGCAATGTCCACACCTATCGCGTGCCAACAATCACAATGTCCAGCGCATGCCTATCTCCTTTCAACTGCGCCCTTGCCACGTGCTAACCTCATAAGAATCTGCCCCAACGCAAAGCACCTACGTCTTGAGAACCTCACAAGCACTACTCGTGCTGCCTAATGCCTACTGCGCGCTACCCCATATATACCTACCGCCCAACCCCTGCCCTTGTGCAGTGTCTTGTTGCCCATGCCTTTTCGGTGCCCTACCTGTTGTCATGGTCACCATCGCCCACTTGCCATTTCTTTCCATTTTTGTGATCAATATTTTAGATTGTTTTATATCCATATTTTTCAAGGTATTATAGGAAAGAACTTTACTTTATTTTTAGATAGGGAAATTATTTCTTTAAGATTATTTGTTTTCCTTTTTAATTAGGATCTTTTACCCTGATGGTTTTCCCTCGTTGGCCGATTGAACTTGGCTATTTAAAGTCATCTTCATGTAAACCTTATACAGATGATTGATGAATGAAATTTAGTATTTTGACACTTAGTTGTCGAGAGCATTGAATCCCCCGACAAATTTTATCCGTACCTTAGATTACATGTTTTAGAAGCATTTAAACTTTGATTGATCATCAAACTTTTGGAGCGTTTCGATTGACCTGAAGGTAATTCCCTTCTAATTTTTCCTCTGAGTTCAACCACTTTATCGGTTGTGTCTTAGTGTAGCGAGATAGGTTCCACCCTTCCAAGAGGCTCCAAAGTCCGTTAAGTAGGATTTCACGTATCAATATTTTTATGAATCAATGCTCGCTAGCTCTAATATAAAGTTCTAGATGTACCACATGTGAGGTTTTTGACTCTCTCCCTCTCATGGGTACATGAGACCTAGATGAGTCACCTTACTGCACACGTGGGTGTCTTGCATGATGTGCTTGCTTTTGCAAGACAATTGAGTCTCAAATGTATTATTTTGAGGATAGAAATCCTAAAGATAATGTCGAATGCTAATTGAGTTTTATAATATGACATGTCTCTTAAATTATGTGACGTCTAATAAGTTAGATTAGTTGAAAGACCTAATCTTGAATATATTATTTTAATTGAAAAGTAGAATTGAGAGTTAGGCCTAACTTTATCTAGCTCTGACTAGGAATGTCTCTCTAGGAATGTCTCTTGATTTCTATAAGTAATTTTAAAGTTAAACAAGAATAACTTACCATTTTTCATTATAATGAGTTTTTGTTTTTTAGTTCAAAAGCTTTAGAGTGAAAATCGAAATTATAAACTTACGGAGAACAACTAAAAGAAAAGAGATTAGTAATGTGTTTGAGATCATTTATTTTTTTAGTAAATTTTCTAAAATAAACTACTTTTCTAGAAGAATTACTAGTTTATAGTGTGTTTAGTATATAGTTTCATAAGTAATTATACATACTAAAAGTGTTTTCAAAATGTACACTACTTGATAATAAATAAATAAATAATTTAAGAAAAAAATTACTTAATTTTTTTAAAATTAATATTTAACAAATAATTTTTTAAATAATAATTTTTTATTTTTAAAGTGATTAACACTCATCAAGTACGTGAGAGATTACTAAAAACGAAGCGTAAGCAAATTACTAAACTCGCCCTAGGTGAGTTGTCCGGTAAAAACTGCTCAAACTTGGCAGCAGTGGTATGAGTTAGTACAATGTTTGGTGATGATGGTGAAAAAGGCAGCTGAGCAAATGGAAAAACGACTCACCGAATAAATATCTTTCAGAGTAAACTGGCGAGTTAATGGAGGGGCATGTTTGTCTTTTTATCATCGGTCAACGCATTTGAATAGTCAAATATTGCAAAAGAAAAAGGGGGTTATTTTATTTTATAATTATTGCTGAATTAAAATTTGAAAACCCTTCTTCCGGCTTCCCCTAAACAACACATTTTGTAATTTTAAAACTCTGAATTTCCGATCGGTTTTCTGTTTTCTTCAAAGATTTCTCTCTTCCCGGAAAAGAGAGTGGGGAAGGTTATTCTCGATTTCCTTCCCACGCCCTGGGGATTTCTGATTTGGGGATTTAAGGATTTTTGAAAAATTCTCAGCTAATTTATGGTTTTCTTCTTCAATCTCTGAATCTTTACCTTCTTCCTTCCTTCCTTCTCAATGGAGTTTACCATATCCGATGAATTGCTGGGTACTTTTGTCCCGATTTTCGTCTATTGGTTGTATTCTGGGATATATGTGCTTCTCGGGTTCTTTGAGAATTACCGATTGCACTCCAAGAAAGACGAGGATGAGAAGAACTTAGTTTCAAAAGCCACTGTGGTTCGAGGCGTTCTCTTTCAACAATTTATTCAGGCCATCGTCGCCATCATCCTCTTTAAGGTATTCATCCATCTTTAGCTCCTTATGTTTCTTAATTTCTTTCCCAGTATTGCAATCCATCACCGTCGTCGTCGTCCTGCCTTTCTCATTGTTAATGTAATTTAGTATATTTCTTATCCTAATTATTGGTGGAACCTGCCGTAGAAAATTCCCACTGAGATTGTATTGTGCTCATAAACTTGGTAGAGCTTTGATGTGATCTTCCTGAAATTTCCTTAGTTTAGTATGTGTGTGAAACCAATTGATTTTAGGTTTACTAGCTTTAATACAGTCCTATGTTTTGTTGTTTCAGACATTTTTAGTTTTGACAAAATCTTAAGATAACAATTCCTCTTCACTTTGTATGTGTTTTAATTGAAATAAGAGCACTGATCAGACCAATGGAGGCAGGGGTGAAGCCATGACAATAATTACCAATTGTCAAATTGCTTTTTTTATATAATTACAAATATTCTTTATTTAAAAGAATATTTGTTGCTAATATTGAAAAATGAAAATTATATTTTGTTACTGTAATTCGAATTGGTGAAACAAAAATCTAAAAAGTTCACATCAAAATAATTTAGTAGGCAATTGGAAAGTTTTAATTCAATTTAGGAATAAAGAAAGATTTGATGCTTCAAGTTGGAAGGTTGGAAGGAAAAGTCTTGCTGCTTTTAGTGTCAACAGTAAAGTTATATTAATTAGTGTGGGCTGTTAGCTTTTCGCTGCGAGTGTTCTCTATATTAAAAACCATAAGATTAGTGCTCAATAAGGAAAGCAATTTGATGAATAGTTTACTTCAAAGATATGAACGACCCACATCTATAAAATTTTGTGCTATTAGCTCTGTTTTTAGTATTGTTAAATTTACATTGAGATGATTCTTTGGATTACAAACTAACTTGGTCAAAACAACAAGATAATTGTCGTCTGAAGAGTTATTCAATTGCACTTCCTTTAACTAAAATTTGATCCTTTTGGATTTGTTTATTTATTTTATGTTACGGTTTATTTGCAATTTTTGGTCACGTTTGAATCCTCGAGTGAGAATTTGTATTTTTGTTTTTAAAGTTTAAGTTTGTTTATAAATTAAAAAACAAAAAATCTTAATAGTTTTGGGATAGTACCAATCCCTTTTTATGGTCTGCATTGGCAGGCAGTCAACAACTCATATGAGTAAAAAACCTCGGACTTCAACACAATTTTGTCCTGTATGGTTGTGTATTTGCTACAAGGCTGTTGCTGTGGCTTCTTAGCCATCTAGTTACTTCGTAAGTTCCGTGCTAAATTAGATGTAGAACAGTAGTTTCTATGTTGTGGCTATTCATATGAAACTTAACAGACTGGACTTCAGCACTATTAAAATTAACCTTATTTATAAGTGCTGTTTAATGAATTATGTTGGTTGGCCCTGTTGTTTAAGTGGCAAGTCGTGAACTCAAATTAAGATGCCACCTATTGAGAATATCCTCTGAATTTCTGGATTCACAATATTCTAGAGTTAGGTAGTTGTCTTGAGATTATTTGAAATGTATTAGTTAAGTAATCAAGATGTGTATATACTAGCTCGGGCACTCCCAATTCTCGAAAGGAAAAGGGAATCATGTTAATTCTTGCATGAGCATGACTGTTGATATCATGTGGGGTGGGGTGCCTGCACTGCACGTACATCCTAGTTTGTCTCTGGGTTTATAATTGCATCTTGTTATGTTCAGGTGACTGGAAATGATGATGGGAGCAGTGCAGTTCCAAAATCCTGGCCAATGGTTGTTTTACAATTCTTAACTGCAATGTTCGTATTGGACACATGGCAGTACTTTGCACACAGATACATGCATCATAACAAGTTTCTGTACAGATACATTCATTCTCAGCACCATAGGCTTGTTGTTCCGTATGCATTTGGGGCTTTGTATAATCATCCTGTGGAAGGTCTACTGCTTGACACGATCGGTGGGGCGTTGTCGTTTCTAGTATCTGGTATGACTCCCAGAGTCTCCATCTTCTTCTTTTCCTTTGCCACTATCAAGACCGTAGACGATCACTGTGGATTATGGCTGCCCGGAAACCTCTTCCATGTCTTGTTTCGCAACAATACGGCCTATCACGACGTCCACCATCAGCTATATGGCAGCAAGTATAACTTCTCACAGCCCTTCTTTGTTACATGGGATAGAATACTTGGTACCTATATGCCCTACTCCTTGGAGAAGAGAGCAGGCGGTGGCTTTGAAGCACGGCCAAAGATTGAATAAATATTGTAAGCAGCAATCAGTTGCTTATATTATATTATTTGTATCCCACAACAATATAATTTGTATATTACTCCTATTGGTCTTTTTATACTTTTGTCCCCCTTTCTTTTCCCTAACATAGATTTGAAACATGAGCTGAGTTAGGTTGTGTTTTGATATATATATATTTTCTTTTCTTTTGGCTTTCATTTCATTCACAATCATTGTGATGACTTTTCAAGAGTTTCTCCAATCCAATTGATAGCTTCTTGTCTTTGTTAGAGACTGAGGTCGTCATTTTCAATTCTGCATCACGGATTGAATGAAGAGACCACGTTTCGTTTCGTTTGTTTTGGTTTAATTCATGATGCATCGGAACCTAGACGGAACATTTTTTCCCTTCATAATTTCTCTTTCTTTGCAGAAGCAAACGGTATCGTGGACAGTAAAAATATTTTGTTGAAAAACAATTTTCTTCCATGGTTGGGTTATATGTTTCTTTTTTTTTTCAATTTTATTTATTTCAATTACAACAAAAATGTGAGGATATAGGTTTCAACTCGTGACCATTTAGTTGGAGATGTATGTCTTAACTAATTGAGCTCTGGTAAGGTCGATGATTGAGAGATATGTTAATATTAATGATTGGTTCAAGAATTAGTAATCTTTATGACCCTTTCATTAGTTGACAGTTTTGAGATAGAAAATTTTGTTAATATAGTTAACTTAATGATTGGTTGAGAGTTTTATAAATCTAGACTATGGGCTTAAACTCAGTTTTTCTATAATACATCTCATTATTTCTTCTCCCCATGTTTACTATTGTATTTTATCAGGTTTACTACAACATATCCCCAAAGGTGGCTTCCGACGAAGTTCAAGTTGCCAAAGCCATCTTCGGCGACGAATCCAGGTTTCGTGGCCAAAGCGGGCAATGGCAATGAAATCCAGGTTTTGTTGCCGAGGCTTTGGCGATGACTTGAACTTCGTCGCTGAAGTTGGTTTTGGCGACGACTTAGGATTCATCGACATGCTCGCTTTGGCGACGAAACCTGGATTTCGTCGCCATATGTCCTTTCTTTATTTTTTTATATTATTTTTTTTGTTATATTCGGTTTGGTCACCAAAGCTCATTTCTTTATTTTTTTATATAATTTTTTTGTAATATTCATATTATTTTCCTGAATCATTTAACAACCTAAACATGTCATGAACTTTCTCAAATTTCATATAAAAATTTATAATATTAATCAAACATTGGTTTTACAAGAGTAAAAAAAGTCAATACAAAGTAAAATTCAACAACCTAAACATATTCTAAAAAGTCCTAATATCAACAACCTAGACATATTCTAAAAAAGTCACATCATCAAGTTCTTCATGAAACTTTATCAAATTTTCAAAAACTTTCGATAGAGAAATCAAATGAACTTGAAAAAACAAATGACAAATAAATTTATGTGAACAAAATAATTAACTTAGTTCTCAGAACTAATTTAAAACTCATAAAAATGTCTAACTCACTCCATGTGTCATGAGCTCAAACTAAGCATTCAAAGTTAACACATGACGTAAACTCATCACTCCCACTCAAAGTTAACAAACTTTTATTCTAACTCACCTCACATGTCATGAACTCAAACTAAGCATTCAAGGTTAACCTCAAGAGAATGAGCATATACTTTTATCGTTTACATATGTTGATACACGACAACCCAAGTATATGGATAAAGCCACTTGAATCCAATCATATAGATGGTTCCACTCAAAAGGAAAAAGTTAGATGGACTAGCTTTTAAGTCAAATACCCACGAGTAGATAGATTACTTATTATACTCGAGGCTCTAGAAGTTTGGTGACCTACCAAACTTGAATTTTTCTTATCAATGGATCCTAAGTTCAACCACGCAAAGGAATACACCAAGAGAGTTTGCCCAAAGGGAAAGGGGTGAAGAGAAAACTCTCACTTCTATTTCGAAATAAATGTCAAAAACTTGTCTTCAAAAGACTAAAAGGGGAGGTGCCAATTTATTGGCCAAGGACATTGGCCATTACAAGAGAATTTTGAAAATAAAAATAATCTTAAAATCTAAAGAAAATAAAATAGTTGTTGGCAAAATTACTTACCCAGAACTTTTCACCTTCCACAGTTCGTCAATGAAAAAGACAATCAACCACAATAAAACGAGATAATAAGGAAAGCACAGAAACGAGACAGAAAATTTATATTGATTCACCCAACTATGGGCTACATCTAGTATTATGTGACAACGAGTTCTACAATGATTTTGGGATAAACAATGAGCAATACAATAACTCTCAAATCTAGAGACCTCGACAAAAGCCACCTAGCTTCTAGGAATTACAACAATAGAATCCTAGGTATACAAGAATGAAGACCTCATCAAATACCCATAAGAATTGGTTGTTGATGATGCATTATAACCCCGAGATCTCGCCTCTGAAATGCTCTGGCAAACATTGCCACCAGACTTTGAAAACAATGCACCAACACTATTCACGACCGTCCTTCGATGTGTGCAACAACACGCATTAAAATCCTAAGGAAAAAATGTTCGCTTTTATAATTTTGTTGTAGCATCAAAACAAAAAATGTGGCGCCTTTTTTGATATGAACCAAGGAGCTACCATTGTTATGCCTCATGGACCGATTACAAGATCGAGAGCTAGGAAACTTCAACAAGCTTTGCTACTTCGTGTCCAAGCGTTCTTGAACTCGACAAGAGAAATAAAGGAAGATGTGCAAGAAGTTAGAACTATGCACTTCAATTTGGTGCAAGTTATGCATTTTTAAGTGTTTTTATGGCAAGTTAAAGTCCACTTGGTCAAGGTCAAAGTCAAATCCATCAAGACAAGTCAAAGTCAACTCATTCAATTCAAAAACCAAGTCAAACACTCATATCCCTCAATATGGACGGGATTGCAATTATTTTGGTTGGCTTTCCATGTTCTTAACCTTTTCATTTGCTTGTCTTTTCATTTCTCGTAAGTTATGTCTTTTCATTTACAAGTCTTTTCATTTCTTGTAAGTTACAAGTCTTTTCATTTGCTTAAGACTTTTCATATG